ATAAAAAAAAATATAAAATAAAAAAATTCTAAAAAAATTCCAAAATAAATTATTATATTTTAAAAATAAAAATAACACGGAAACATGCCCCTTTTATTTTCATTATTCTTGTTTTTTTATTAAAAAAAATTAAGACAATTTATTCTCATTTTCCCCTGCACTTTTTTATATAAATTTCTTTTTTTTTAACTCAAAATAATGGTATTTTAGGTTTGAATTAGGAATTTAAATTGATTTTTAATTTAGTTCTTTAGTTTTTAATTTTTCTCAATTAAATGGTTAAGTAAACATAAACTTTTAATTTAATGCAATTAAATCCTTGATGAATTTTAATTTGAACCTTGAAGTTACGCACCTTTTATAATATAATCCTTAATCTTGTGATTTGTCAATTTAATCCCTGATTGACAATAAAACTTTTAATTTTTTTAATTTTCCCTTAATTTTTGTCAATTAAACCCCTAAATTTTAGAGCCTTTTGCAGATTAATCATCGGCTATGAATTTTTCAATTTAACCTCTAATTGATCCCAAAAACTTCAATTTTCTTTCAATTTTACCTATGATTTCAATCAATTAACTTGATAAAAATTAAATTTCAGTCTCTTAAAATTTTAATATTCTCAATTAAATTCAAATTAGGCTCCAAAACTTAATTTTTCATCAATTAAGCCTCAAATAAAATTAATTTGACTCATTTAAAGTATAATTAAGTCCTTAAACTTGATTAAATTCTTCAATTTGACCCAAATTAATTATTAAACATAATTAAAATTTAATTTGGCCCATGATTAAAACATATTGGCATATTAAAAATTTAATTATGTTTCTGCACTTAATTTTTATACAAATTCATCTACTAATCATTCAATTTAACATTGAATTTGTATTTTCTCTTTATTTTGGGGTGTAATTAGACCTTGAATTTATTTGAAAAATTGCTGTTTGATTTCCCAGCCTGCTTTTTTTGCATTGCCAATCTTTATTTTATTTTTTATTTTTTATTTTTTAAATAAATTTTAGAGAATAACCTAAAATTAGATTATGACGGAGAATTATTTCTTTTAATTCTGAATCTTAATGAAAAGTGTATTTAAATAAGATAATTTTTTTGGAATCTTATAAGGTTGGTTGTATATATATTGTTTTGTTTGCACCGAGTAAATAATAATAAAATCTAAAAGATGAATAACTGATATTTAATTTCTTTTTATATTCAACTTATTAAATTCTAAGTGATTTAAGAAACAAGTAATTATATTGTTTTAGTTGAAGTCTAACATATCATATAACTAATATACATGCTAGAGTTTTAGTATGATCTTCTTACAAGTTTTAATACATTCTTAAAATGCAAATTGTATATTCTTTTGATTACAAGTTTACATTGTATAATTAAGTACTGATTTTTGAACAACAATAACCACCGTCAACAACCATTGCGTATTTTAGCCTAATTTTGACAATGAAAAATTCTTGTATAAAAGCAACAAAATTAGAAAAAAGAAGAAGAAGAAGAAGAAGTCATTTTGAAATAAAACAAGCCCACTTTGATAACTGAAGAAAGTTCGGCGCGCGTCCTGGCTCTAAAATATGTCATGCGTCACAAGGCACTATCAGTATTATGCGTCTATTCTCTCATTCGTTTTTACATTTTTTTTAAATATATATATATATAAAGTATTTTAATATGATAATTTCAAAATTAAATTTAAAAATATAAAAAAATTATTTTTAATATATTTTAAAATAAAAAATATATTGAAAAAAATTCATGCTACAATACCAAAAAGATCTTAAAGGCATGAGAAAAAAACTTGGATTTTTTAATTAATACTGTAAATTTAAAATTTTAATAAAATAATATTATTTTTTAAAAAATAATAAAATATCACTATTTCATCTTGTCATGTTTAACTCATACTCCAATTAAAATCTTTAAAAATTATTATTTATAATAGCTATCTTTCATTTTTTAGTATTAATAATATCATCTGATTAGATTAGATGATAAATGATTCAATGCAATAAAATATAAATTTGTCATAATTATATAATAATTTACCCTAAATAAATAACATGAATCATTTAATAGATATATTTATTGACACGTGAGACAGATTTAGATCTAAGAGAAAATTTAATTACACAAGATCAAAATAATAACTAAAAAATATTATAATTTTTTATTTAGCATTCAGATTTTTATAAGATTTTTTGGATGGAATTACTACTTAAATTATCAAATATTTAGATTTTAAAATTTTTATCTAGGGGCTAGTTTTGATATTTTTTTATAAACCGGCCTATTAATTTACCTGATCATCGTAAACTGATTAACTAATTAGTTTTGAATTTAATAGATGTTGTCATTGTAAACCACGAAAGCAAGTCAAATCTTATCATGATTTCAAATAAGGATATTAAATTAACATCGTGATTCTAGAATGTAATATTTAATTAAATATTACAGTTTATTATCACGACATTTAAAAGTGTAACTTGTTGCTGACATGTTAATTCGCGAAATAAATGCGTTTTCCAGTGCAAGAGAGAAAGCAACGGTTTTCATCCTCGTTTATAGGCGGCTGAAGCAGTAGCAGGTTCAATTCTGAAGGAACATCAAAGACTTGTTCCGAGTGTTCTGTCGCTTAGAAGAGTCCATTTCGAGGCTTTGAAAAGTTCACACCTCACGCTTCGCAGAACACGAGACTCGGTTTGTTTGGATCTGCACCTTAATATCTTGCTATGAGAAGCAAACAGCAACCAACCTTTCATCTTTAACATAAAACAGGATTAGTGAAGTCAATTATGTGACATCGACTCATATAATTAGAGAAATTTCGCAGTACATGAGATCAAGCCAATTGCACTGCACTAGATCGAGCCAGTCACACTATTTCGTCTTACTAATTAAATTAATTTAACTGATGAAATAAACTATTTTGGTTTACATATAATTAGCCATGTACCGTAAAAATATCTTTAAAAAATAATAATAAAATGATAGTCAAGGGTACTTCACACTCTAAATTTCAACATCATAGCCACGCGGATGAAAATAATAATAAAAAAACAACAATTAAAAGTTAGACCGGCCTGAATTCATACTTTATCATTTAATTTTCAAATTTGATTATTTAAAAAGGTTGACCGCCCTTAAATAATATAAAAACCAACATTTACAAAGTGAAAAAATTATAATTCTAATTAAATAGAAAAGACAACGTAAAGCTCAAAATTAATATAAAAAATTCAAAAACTTAAAAGAAAATATCGAAAGTTACGACATTTTCAAAATCTAATTTTAGGGTTTTTAAAACTTTGACGGGTTATAACAAGTCGAGACCAATTGTTTTGGTAAATATATAGATTAATTTATGTATATCTTAATTTAAGTAGTAGTGTGTACAAATGCAGGGCACACTACCATTTTCTGCCAATTGTTAAATCTTCCGTCTCTCATTCACACTCCCCAACCCAATTATACCAGAGTCCCTCTCTATCTCAATCACATTATTTGGGAGGATTGGAATCGGATCATGGAGAACGAGGATTGCTTTATTTATTTATAGGGTAGTGCCCACGAGAGGAGGGGCACCAAGGGGAGTAAAGGACATTGCGCATGCATTATCACCGATCAGAGAACGGATGGGACCAATTTTTTTGGGTAAATATATGGATTAATTTATCTATATCTTAATTAATCTTTCAAGATTTTAAAATTAATAATTAGATAACTTTCTAACAACCATAAAATTAATAATTTTTAAAAAATAAATTGAAAACCTGACTATATTTTTTACACACAGATGAAATCAAATTTTAGCCGTGCATTGGACGGACTTCATGGACTGTAAAGCTCCCAGAAATTGATAGTGTGTAAATGCAGGGCACACGCTGGCCGCTACAACTGGTGACAAATGGGCTCCTTCGCTTTGTCAAGATGTGATAGCTGATTTATGAAGTAAAGTCCTTCACAATCCGTGAAGGACAAGCGGGCAGTGACTTTTGCATAGTTCTTGGCGCTTTTATCCCAGTTTTGCATGCGCTCGGAGGCAGATACAGCTTCCAAGAGTTTTATTAATATTCCCAGGGAAGCAAAAATAAATCTACCGATTCTACAGAAGGGGCATGAATTGAACTGACCAGGAATTTAGGAATCAGGAAACCTGCTCTATTTTAAAGGAGGCCCTTTGAATTGAACTGACTAGGAATCTACCAAACATGGATCACGAACTAATAAGTATTTATACTTATTCTATTGAAAATACTATCTTGAAGTAATTACACCAAACCCCAATATGAATAGTGCGATATATTAAATCATCTAGGTGGTGGCCAAGTGGTAAGGATTTGGAATCAAGGAGTTTGCTCCCTCTGTGGTCTCAGGTTCGAGTCCTTGGTTGCTCATATGATGGCCACTGGAGGCTTATATGATCGTTAACTTCAGGGTCCGTGGAATTAGTCGTGATGCGCGCAAGTTGGCCCGGACACCCACGTTAATCTAAAAAAAAATAGTGTGATATATTGAAATCAAATATGTAATGAAGTAATGATTCATTACATTTACTTGTTTAGTTGCAAGATTTTTGGCACTATAAGAGAAAATTTCATAATAGTCTTTATATATTTTAAATTTTATTTTAGTCCTTATATTTTATTTTTACTTTAAAATGGCCTTCATAATGGCCTTCATTTGGATACTTTTTGTTCTTGTAGCTCGTAGAGATTATAATTTTCTTTATAATCAAATTCGTTTTGCAATTAAGTCCTTATATGATACTCTTAATCATGTAATATCTGTTAATTATATTATGATTTTAAAATTATTACATAATTAAATATAAAAATATGATGAACCATTACATCAATGACTTGATGAGATTTCTAAAAGCCGAAGTACTAATAGTAGGCCTCAAGGCCCAATATGCAATGCTAAAAGCCCATAATTTGTAAATCATAGACCGCTAGACCCAGATGGATGCGAGAGAGACGCAGAAAGAGAGAAGAGAGACTGGCCAGTGGCGGTATGGTAGCCAGTCAGGGAGCACAAGAGAATAGAAATGGCGAAGAAGAAATATGCAGGCGCCTCACCTCATCATTTCATCAGCTTATTCTGTTTTCCCATCGATTAATTATAGGTTGCTTCCTTTCTTAATTGAATTCACTTAATTCTGTTTATCACTTAATTTAATTCTTAAACTAGAAAATTCGGGTGTTTTAAGGCCTTTGGAAGATGGGAAATCATTGATAATGCTAAGAAAGATGGAGTGATTGTATGTTTTTTAAGACAATGAGTATAGTTTTTTATTACCAGCATCATGTTACTTCATCATCACTGATTTATTCTTTTCTATGTCGTTCTGCCCTGCATCAAACTTTTCTGTGTGTTGTGATCTTTGTTAGTTTTTTTTTTTTTTCCTTTCTTCAATCCAATTTCAAGCTATTTTTGGCTCACCTCTCCTATTTTGTCACCCCAACAATTTAAACTGATTGCTTCCTCATATTGGTGTATTTATATGTTTGCAGTACACTTGGTGAAAACACCTCTTCAACTTATCTGTGTGCTCTGGTTGATTTGTGTTTAAATTCTACGTTCTTCTCAAAGGAAGCACTGCGGTTGTTGAAGAGTTATATCACCATATTTGAACAAGGCGAGGTCCCTGTCCAGGTTGCCATTTTTATGTGTAGCTGTACTTGTTGAACATCTACCCTTGTGTACCCTGTTGGCTCGCAAATAGTATAGAGCACATTTCTGTGTTTTTAATGTATTTCCATGCCAGTAAGTGGACTTCAATATTTTTTTTTTAAAAAAAACGTGTCTTTCTCCGGCAGAATGAGGCTGTCTTCTAGGCATATGCTGCACAACTTCCATAACCTTTGGTCATTGGTGGTGGCGGAGGAGGCGAGAGTGACCTCACAAGTAGCCAAGTTGGCATGATGAACGAGTAAGAATGTGACTCATATCTGAAAGGACTACTTTGTGATATCTGGTTTCGTTTTTGTTGGAGTAGAGCTATGATATATCCTTATATTGTTAGAGATTGTGACTATCTATGTGAATCATTCATGATCCTAGACTTTCTCCACGTCTTTTTGTCCATTCAACTCTCAAAATTGTAATAAACTTGTCAATTCTCTCTGTGAACTTCAATGAGCTAATTAGACTCTAAAACTGGTTGAAAATGATGTGAATATTAAACAATGCCCATAAGTTTGTGTATTTACCTCTACGCTGTTTCGCTGCTAATTTGTTGAGTGCTGAGCCTGTTGGTAAACTTAGTCAATGTTCTTCTCAGTTTAAATCACGACAGGGCTGTTTGACTGATAACAATACAAAACCACAAATAGATGGTGAAAAACGTTTTCTATATCGCCTAGTGACGCTTCAAACTTTACTTGGGCAAGCTAATGTGTAGTTTTCATACAATTTGATTGGATTAGAAATTTGCTGCTCCCTGCAAATCTTAGTTGCTCTCTAGATATATGTTGTTAAAATCTCATCTCAAGTCCCTTTATAAATTTGTTGGCTTGATGGAATCTTAAATGATTTTTATTGGGGCGTCTGCGGCCCTTGAGTTAGCATCAGGGTGGATAACACTGAATCTGCTATGAGATTTTGTGATCCATACATGTATGGAAGGGAGTTCGAGGCAAGTCGCTAAATAGAATTGCGAGCACCAAAGGCCAACGAAGAAAGTCTGAAAACTCACCTGGAGTCCCTTTCTGCAGGCCAGACTGATTTTGACCTCAAACATATTGGAATAAAGTTTTGAATAGCCCTTGTCATGTCATTTTACATCCGAGAAATTAAGAGATTACTAATCGCATTTACTTAAGTTTGTATTTACACGCAACTGTTACATCTACTTTTATAATTAGTCAATCTACCATGTACCTTTCTCTCTTTTACATGAATAAAAGCATATTTATATGGGTAGAAATTTAAGATCTTGACATTTTAATACTGCTATGGCTGTTGGACCGTGTTTGTGCTGTTACTCATCGTAAAGTATCTGTACTTTGTGGCTGCTTAAGCTGCAATTCCCCATACAGAATCTTGTCTTTGTCGATGATGCAAGATGTTTCTCTCCAAGGCTTTTATCTGTGAATGAGCTCGAGCTTTTAATGGACGAACCATGGAGCGAAGGCAAAAACATGAAATATCATTCATTTACCATTAGCCTCAACTGTCTAGGGAACTCCTCCGTACTTCCTCACAATAGTTTATTGACTTCTACAACCGCTGGGTATGAGCTGTGTGTGACCCAGTTGCCGTATTTTAGTCTTTAAAGTGATAACTACCTAACTGTACATCATCTTAAATTCTTTAGGTAAGTTCAAACAAGAATGTTCAATCCTCTTAGCTGTGCCTGTGAGATTCTCGGGATCTGAATCCCTCTCTACTCACTGCGAAGGTTTGAAATGACTTATGGTCCGTATTCGATAGGCACAGCTGCTTGTTGGTGTGACTGGGAGGGCAAGAGGCCATTCATTTATGACAAGGGACCCATCACATGTTTATATGTCTGAGGTTAGATTCATATTTGATCAGACCATGTAACTTGATTGTGGCTAAAAGCCTAAAATATAGCAGGTGTCCTTCTTGTAGAGATCCCAAGTAACCTCTTTAAACTTGCATTGGTCCAAACAAAACAGCATTAAAGACAGGTTGGTTTTTGTATCTGGTACAAATTCATAATTGATAGAGCCGCATACCCTGTTAGCAAGTTGTTATGGCTTCAAAATGTCAGGACTGCCCATCTGCGTAGATAGAGACACCCTTTCCCTTGTTGCATTTATCCTTCTCGGAAGGGTAAGGTTTCTTTCCTTATGCGATTGACCTAACCAGGTGATCCTACAAGAGCGGTGCTCTTGGTGTGCGGTCTCCCATGACGGGCTCCTCACGTGATTGACAACTTGGAGCCCAAGTCAGCAATCCACAACCCAACCCAACCCAACCCCCCCCTCTCTCTCATGAAAAATAATATAAAAAAAAAACCTAGAAAAAGTGCCGTGAAGAACTCCAACAGCCTTAGCTGATGCTGAGCCATTGTCACAAGAAACTCTGGACGGCTTGTTGCTTAGCTTTCTAATTATTAGTTTAAGAATTGCCTCTGCCTTCCTGTTATGGCATGACATTAGCCTAATTATCATAATAATGAGGTTAATAAATGTCGTCCTTTGTCTGTCCAGTGTGCACTTGTCACTCATCTGGAGTGTCTCTGGCCCACCCATTTAACCATCTAGATACGAAGATTTGTCTGTGTACTCTGCGACCTCCCCTGCAAATTTTGTCTTGCTATATATTTTACCATGGCATCGATGTAATCGACAAGGATTGGATGATGAATATCATTATTTGTTTTTAGGCCAGTGTCAATGCCAAACAGAGTCAACTATAGCCAGGTCTTTGGCCTTGTGCATGTATGACATGTGTACACCGCTGGCTATTTGATTAAGAATTATTACGAGTATTATACAAAAGATTAGCAGGTTAAAGTGGCCGAGTAGTTGGAAATAGGGGGAGAATCCCTGTTTAAAACTGATTGGTGCTGTCCAACAAATTCATTTGGAAATAGTTGTATACAAGGAACCTTGTCTCTTATTATTTGATGGCCTGGGAGGAGGATTTGGATTTCTAAGCCTTTTTTTAGAGGAGTTGTCGAACTTGTAAAGTCTGTATTTTTTCTCAAAAGGTGCAAGAAACCATAGTTATGAATCTAATAAGCTCATAACATCAGATTTTGGTGACTTGGGACCTCATCTGATCTTCAAAATCTCCCTTTGCCCAAGAATCTATGTATTTTTTAAGTTTTTGTACCTTCACCTACTGGTCATGTAAATTCAAAATTTAGTTAATCCTGTTTCCCAACACCAATAAACCTGCTCTCGTTGTTTCTTGTGTTGTCTCCGAGGACATGGCAAATTACAGCAAATGTGGTAGAAAAATATAAAATATATTGATAGGAGTATATAACAAAGTGATAAACTAACATTTCATTGTTATATTTTTATATATTTTTTTCAAAATAATATTGAATTAAGAAAAACACATCATTTTTTTAAATTCTCAAATGTATTAGGTTAACACGCATCAAACTCAATCAAAATTAAGCTTGGTAGTGTGCCAAGCTCAGGTGCGTTAGCTTTGACTAATGCCAGACCCAAAGATTGCTAGATCTAACACTAGCCAAACTCGAGAATTGTTGGCTTTGGTGTTGACAAACTCATATTAAGGATTGGCTCTACCAACCCCTATGTTTAGATCTGGCCGATAGTGCTAGACATAACGTATAGACCAAATAGTACATCAAGCTCATGTGCAACCTTGGTTCAACGCCAACTAGACCCCGACACCATTTGGATTTGACAGGTGCTGTCACGCCAGTAATTTAGCCTAGTGCGCTGTCAGGCAAACAAGGTGGGTCTGGTGTACATTTCATAAAAGTATATGGTCATATTCATTATATCCGTAAATTTAAACATAATATTTGAATCTAACACTGTCAATTATATAGATTTTTATATAAAATTTGAGAGAATTTATTTTCTAACAAATAGGCTTAATTAAACAAATATATACTTTGCCAACACCATTAGTTGTATTAAAGTCTTCATTGCCTGTTATATCTTCATTTTTTAGCTGGATAAAATAAGTGGAATACAATTCACGATAAAATTTAAAATATTATAAGGTAAAATTACACTTTAGTCCCTTTTTTTCATAAAATAACAAGGCTCATAGACTATAAATACACCATGAGACTTTTAGAATAAATATTCATAATCTTTATTTTCTACTGCAAATATATTACTTGAGCATTTTTTTTATAATATTATTATATTGTTTCGCTATAAAAAGATATTTATTATAAGTATTGAAGAGTCCTCACCTCCACTAAAAAAGATTTTTTATAGGTATTAGTCACAAATCACATTGGCTTAGTAAGCATCAATTACAAACTATCAACCACCTTAGTTAGGAAGAATATATGAGATTGTTATGACCAACTGATTAATTGATTATCCAACGTAGGAGATTTGTTCATAGGCTACTTAGATTTTTAAGATTTCATCAGTGGCATCGTCTGTGAGAAATTGATAAAAAAAACCATTAGTTTCTTTCTAAAGCTTGCTTTTGACATTTCCAGACCATTCTATGACACATAAGCACTGCCTACCTAGGATAAGATGCAAGACAAGTCTACTCATTACCATGGATATTTCTGCCTAACAAGAACTTTAACAACTTACTAGTCAAGTGCAACGACTCACCCAAGCTGTATCGGTAACCCGATGGAAAAATTAGACATTGCTACCCTAACAAATCGTAACGGCTTCAACAACACATAAAGTTTTAACATCATGGCCACCTGTTACACCAAGAGCTCATAAACGATTACAATACCTAGAGAAGATTAATAATAATGACATTCATAAGAATTTCGTAAGGGATCACTCACACTATTGTGACACCCATGGATAAAAAAAATACTCTAAATAAACTTCCTTTAATTACCATGTGTAAACACTAACTACCGTAATCATCATTTTATGCCAAGCGCTTTAGGCTTCCAAGAACCCAACAAACAAAGAACTAGGAAATAGCATGTGCATGAGCATTTCATGAGAATTTTTATGGTTACCATTAGTGGAGAGGTTCTCCTTTTCTCAAATGCATATTGAACACTTAACTCCACAATGACTATATTTACATGGAAATTAGTTTGGACAATTATAATAGCTTGACTAACCCACGGGAGGATGTGTAAAATATACATGGTAAATAAGAATTGGTCATCCAAGAGCATGACTCGATGTGCAAGATACTCTATACAACCTTTAGAGGGTCTACACCAAGCTAGTGGATGATTTAGAACTAACATACCCGCCAAGAAAAACTCCATATAACTTTTCAGTGTTGCCTAATAAAATGGTGAGTTTACACAAACATATTTGAGGAGATTTAATGAAAAGAGGCTTAAGTTGAAAAGATTGTTTAATATAGTAGCCTTAGAAGCCTTGATATGAGGAGTAAAAAAACATTCTCTTTAGAGAAAACTTTATACTTACCAAATAAAAACTT